GCTCCCCCCGTGGTTCTTTTTGAGGAGACCCTAGGGGAAGAAATGCCCAAAGGGGGGAGATTTTATAAAAGAAAAAAAAAAAAAAAAAAGTCAAACGTCATGCCCGGAGAGGGTCTGCGAGCTTGGCGAGCTGGATGTTGGTGTCAGCTTGAGGCCACCTCAGCAGACCTTCCCAGTGCAAGGGAGCGAATCAGAGGCTCCACACGCTCTCCCTGGAGCCCATGGAATGGATAGGCTCAGCACCACGGACAGTAGCCTCCCCGCCCACCCTGAACTTGGAATTCCAGCACCTCCCCTGTCTGACATGTTCGCACCCAGGGCAAGGTGGTGGGCTGGGAAGGGAGGCGCGCGGCGGGCCCTAGGATGCCGCGCTGTCGAAGGAGTCAATATTGATTCACCTCTCGCCTCCCCTAGGGACAGGGACAGTCCTACTTCGATCCACGGGGACTCGGGAGCTAGGCCTTCCTCTTCACGGCAGGCTTCAACAGCTGGGTGTGTCCGCACTCCCGAAGCAACCTGAACTCGCCCGTCTGGGTAACAGAATTTCTTCCACCACAGTCCTGTGCACACGGGCTCCGGAGAGGTCCCCGGGGGCTGGGAGACTAGGAGGGAACTCCCATAGCGCTGGCGATCTCCAAGGTCTGGAGGGGGGTAAAGAGGGATCCCCTTCCCTGGAGCACACCTCTGGATCCTGCGGGGCTCCGATGCTGGGTGCTTGGTGATCAAGCCGCCCCTCTCCAGGGCCGCCCCCTGGCTGGTGTGCTGCCTACCTTGACATGCGCAGGCGGCTCTCCGCCCCCACCGCCACCACGGACCCTCCCCCTTGGACACACACTCCCCACCCCCAAACCGGCGTGCCCCTCCCAGGGCCTGGCACGTCGCGGAGAAGGGGCGGAGCCCGGCGCAGCGCCAACGCCTCCAACCTAACTCGGTAGCTTCTAGGCTGGCTGGCTGTCTCTCCCCGGGTCTTGTTCTCAAGTCTCGGCATCTCTCCAGAGCCGGGACACACGGCCTCCCACCAACGCACCTCCTCCGGGCAACCCCACTCCTACTCCTGTACAAACACGCTTGCTCCGGCTCCGGAAAAGGGAGGGACAAATCTCTCTGAAGCAATGATGTCATCTGTAATTCTCACAGTACTTGGCTGGCTCCTGGCTTTTCTATACCCCAGCTCCCCACCCCCGACCTCATCCCCTCCAGGCCTCCCTGTCCAGGCTTTGTCTAGCCTTGATTAATGGGTTCCTAACACTAGGGACACGGCATGACAATCCGTGCTTAAGCCAAGTTGCGTGAGGCGTAGGGTGTGGCGCACCTCTTCCCACATACTTCTCTTCATCAACCGCGATCCAAAAGTCAGTTTAAGGGTAGCGTTAGGGTGAAGACACAGAAGGACGGTTTTCCCGTTCCCAAGTTCCTTGCGACCCTCCCTATGGTTCTAATTGTTTTTGTAAAGGCAGATAGATCGTGGGGTGGCGTTTTCCAACTTTTAGCCACTCCCTTGTCCTAGCAGCTGCGAGAGCATCCCCGCCCTATTTCTGGAAGGGAAACCTGAACCTTTATACTCAGTTATAAGCTCGAGTTGACCTAACTGATTAAGAATGCCTGGAACCGAAGGGAAAGATAAATAGCGAAAGATTGGTACAGAAGCCCACCCCAGCCCCGCCGGCTCCTCCCCTCCAGGAGCTGAAAGGGGGAGCTTAACACTGGTATTCCAACAGGGAACCCGGAGTAACAGCTGACTGTAAGTGAACTGTGCGCAGGAAATGCTCCCTGCTAAGATGTCACAGAGCCACAGAAGGTCTCCAATTAGATCTTCTCCGGCAGACAGTCATGCGGTTATAAACGCCATCTTGTGTTGAGGACCAGCCCTTGAGATCCTCGAAGTTTGTTTAGCATCATCTTTTCCAACTCATGAATCTGCTCAAGAATAGGCCTGATGAGTACGCGAGGCCCTTCTCCTGACAGCTTCCCAGGTTAATTCTAATGTTCAAGGAAGTTCCCTACACTCGTTTTAATTCTATGCACCTTCCTCCCAAAACGCTTGTAAGTGCTCTTAATAGTATTTCCTTATTTTAAGCTGTTTCCTCCATGCCCTATTACAAGAATTTTTTGTTTGGGACTAAGCTTCCATAATGTATAATATTTTCTAATCGTTTCCAATCTACAGCCACCGGGTCACTTTCTCAGGAGGGGGTTGAAGTTCGACAACATGATTCTCCAGTGACAATAAAGAGTAGGTGTTGCTGCTATCTATGTGGAATTAGGACACACTTGCTTAGGAGGATAAATTTATTCAAATTGAACAGCATCTCTGTCACAGCACGCTTATGTTCAATTAAAATCTAAAGTATTTTTCACTTGTTTGCAGACTCATTTTGTAGCTGTGCAAGGAATTTTGGAAACTTTATTACAAAACTCTGAACTTATTGTTAACTTTCATTATTTTTGACCATCACATTATGCTAAAAGTTTTATTGAACTTCAATTCGGCCGTCCTATATATCTCTTTGATTAGGTTTGATTTCATCTGTAGGCTTGAAAATCACTTGATCTCCCCACAGAATTTGTAACAAATGAAAATATAAAAACAAAACAAAGAGCAGATCCATCGACATCCTCCTAAGATTCTAGCTTGTCTGTTTTATTAGTGCAGTTGCTTAGTCATAAAGAATGCCCGACAGGCATGGTAATGCATGCCTTGAATCCTGATACTCAGCCTGTTCTACATAGTGAGTTCCAGACCAACTGGGGCTATGGGGAGACTGTGTTTCAAAAAGAGCAAAATAAATAAATAAGTAAATAAATAAATACCCGAACACATATTCCTATTTGCACAGTATAGCATGGTACATTCTGAAAATATAAAAGGCAAATGCAAGCATAATTAGATTTATAAGAAATAGGATCAAAGCTTCACATTAAAATTTTTATTACAATATATTTACTTTTTGTGCATATATATGTACATGTGTGTAAGGAGGTCAGAGGACAACTTGTAGGAGTTCCTTCTCTCCTTCCATCATGTGAACTCAGAGGATAGCACTCAGGTGGTCAGGCTTAGCAGCAAGTACCTTTGCCTGCTGAGCCATTTCACAGGCTCTTTTATAGTCATTCATCAACCCAATTTTAAGTGTCACTGTGAGAATTTTTGAGGTTTTGGAAAATGTGCTTGCCTCCAGTTCTCGTGAGCCACTTCCCATGTCTCCTCTGTGGAAAATAAGAGCACGTGGTCTCTTTGTTCTGTTGTTTTCTTTGATTTTTGGCAGGAGCTTCCTGCCACGTTTGCAAGTACCTTAAGTTCTTTGAAGCACATACATATTGTCTTGTTCTGAGAGTGTTTAATTCATTAAAAATCATCAAGTCACCCATTCCTCTCTGATGCCAATTTTGCCCCACTCTTTTCTGCTGATACTAGCCTGACCTTTTCCATTTAATGATCATCCTGCTCCTATATCTGACAAGTGAAGCCATGTGTGGTGATTAATCTTAATTATCAACCTGCTTGGGTTGATAAGCACCTACGAGACTGGGAAAGCCTAGCCCTGGCCGTGTCTGTGAGAGCATTTTCCAGGAGGATTAACCAAAGAGGGCACCTCACCCAGAATAAGGAGGCACTGTCCCACGTCTTAGGCTGGATGGACTAAAAGAGGGAGAGGAGAAAGCTTGCCGGTGCTCTCTCTGCTTCCTGGCCACCATGGGCGGGCTCTGCTCTACCACATCCTCCAATCATGGTGCTGTGACACCTCTTAAACCATGAGCCAAAACAAACATTTTTCTCCCTTAAGTTGCTTTGGTCAGATATTTGTCACAGTGATTAAAAAAACAACAACAAAAAAACAAACTGTCCAATACACCATATTATCTACTTTCCAAGCAGGCGACATAGCAGTCTGTTTTCTAAAGGATTGTATAAAATTGTTCCTGGTGACCACAGTTCCTTATATAAAACAGAATTAAATTTGGATATAATGTATGCATATCCTTCCTTACACTTTACATGATCACTTATCTTAAAAAGACTAATGCAGTGCATGTAAATAGTTCTTGTATTATATTATTTAGAGAGTAGTAAGAAAAAATGTTAAGCCAGCAGTATGGCTCTGTGGGTAAAGACAAGTGCTACTAAGGCTGACGACCTGAGTCCAATTCCCAGAACTCACATGATGGGAGGACAGAACTGACTCCTGAAAGTTGTCCTTTGACCTCTATACTCTGGATGTGGCATAAGCACACACATAAACACACATACAATAAACAAAACACATCTTTTTTAAAAAGAAAGAAACCCATACCTATTCAGTATAGACTTTTTTCCCCGAATTTTGTGACTCCCAACTGTGGAATTCATGAATTCTCACTTTACTCTTGCCTCAAATGCTCTCACTCTAGAGTGGCACTCCCTGGTCACTCTCCTAAACTGGTTCCTGACCACCTTGCTCACCCGAGGCTCCTCTGCCTCATTTCTCTGCTCCTGGTTTCAGTATCTTCCTTCATTACCCCAAATTATCTGATTGTAATTTGTGCACTTGCTTATGTTCTGACTCCTCCCACCAGGACACGTCTCCTTCATGGTAGCAACTGTATTTTCCCTGTCCATGACTGCACTCCTGGGTGTAGACTGGTGCCAGGCGGGCACCGGGTCCTGTCCATAGAGGACACAAATCAACAAATAGTCAATGGATGAGCAAGAATAGCGTGGAAAGGGAAAGGGCTGAAGCCAGAATCAATATTGGGACTAGGAAAAGACTTTTCAGAGAAATGGGAGAAGGTCCAGGAAGAGCAGTGTCACAGGGGCCAAGGGTAAGAACACAGAAATTGAGGAAAAAGATGTTCAAAGGTGTTGAGTAGAGGAGACAAAATGACGCTGATCAGTATGAACAGCATCTTTAATATGCACAAAGTTAGTTTTCCTGATGGGAGAAACTCATTTCACCAGGATTATTGGGGAAGAATTAGAGATGATGGTAGTGCTGTAGAGATACAGAATGGGACCTGAAGACTCACATATTGATTTTGGGCGAGTAGGAAGCCAAAGAACCCTTAGAGTCTAGCAATGGAGAGGCACAGGGGGGATGTGAGCCTGGGGGAGGGGTCTGAATTCCTGGGAGCTCTTCTTCAAGTGTAGGAGAATGCCAGGAGAACCATTCATGATCAGAATGTGGTTGAACTAAGAGTCACAAAGCAGGAATCAGAGTCCAACCAATGCAAGTCAAGTGACCTGCTTTTACTATTCCAAGTAGATTTTGAAATATAGTGCACACCTCCTGGGACAAGAAAGAAGAAACACATTTATTTTAAACTGTGGCCGTAGAGCACATGTGGGGCTGAGAGACAACAGGCCCCCACAGATCATCCTGCCAGCCAGCTGTGGGATATTGTCACAAGCCAGGGAAAGGCAGGATTAGAGCAGGAAGCAGTGGCATTATGATTAGGTCACTTGAGAGCTTCCTGGATTTTGACATGGCAGAGAGCCTAGTGAGTAAGATGAGACCAAACAATGTTTGATGAAATGTACTGAATTTCATTTAATGACAAGGGAAAGCAAACCTTTCATGATACCGCCCCCCTCCCCATAACAATATCAGGGCAGTAAAGAAACCAATGTCACCCTCTTGACTGATCTGTAAGAAAACCATGGTGATACTTCAGTGCGGATAATCCAAGCACATGATGGGAATAATTAAATACTAATAACTAAAATACAATGAGTGATAAAGTAGTTTAACCAATAAGCAAAGTTATATATTTTGCATATTGCTGTTAATGACATTCTTGTTAAAGAAGCATTTCTAGCTGTTATAGCTAGAGCTCTTAGGACAGAGAAAAAGAAAAGGTGCCTTGGAGAAATAGGCACCATAATTATCCCACTGATGTTTAGGGCAGGGACATAGTTGAACTCCGATTAACTCAGTGCTTCTCAGAAACATTTTGAAAGGAGAAGAAAAGAAAATCACAAATTGAGGCTGAGGAGTTAGACAGGAGACTGTGCTCTGGACCTA